GTAGATACTACTATAGAGTCTGTAGATACTATTATAGAGTCAGTAGATACTACTATAGAGTCAGTAGATACTACTGTAGAGTCAGTAGATACTACTATAGTGTCAGTAGTTACTACTGTAGAGTCAGTAGATACTACTGTAGAGTCAGTAGATACTACTGTAGAGTCAGTAGATACTACTGTAGAGTCAGTAGATACTACTGTAGAGTCAGTAGATACTACTGTAGAGCCAGTAGATACTACCGTAGAGTCAGTAGATACTACCGTAGAGTCAGTAGATACTACTGTAGAGTCAGTAGATACTACTATAGAGTCAGTAGTTACTACTGTAGTGTCAGTAGATACTACTGTAGTGTCAATAGATACTACTATAGTGTCAGTAGATACTACTGTAGTGTCAGTAGATACTACTGTAGAGTCAGTAGATACTACTGTAGAGTCAGTAGATACTACTGTAGAGTCAGTAGATACTACTGTAGTGTCAGTAGATACTGTAGTGTCAGTAGATACTACTATAGAGTCAGTAGATACTACTGTAGAGTCAGTAGATACTACTGTAGAGTCAGTAGATACTACTATAGAGTCTGTAGATACTATTATAGAGTCAGTAGATACTACTATAGAGTCAATAGATACTACTGTAGAGTCAGTAGATACTACTATAGTGTCAGTAGTTACTACTGTAGAGTCAGTAGATACTACTGTAGAGTCAGTAGATACTACTGTAGAGTCAGTAGATACTACTGTAGAGTCAGTAGATACTACTGTAGAGTCAGTAGATACTACTGTAGAGCCAGTAGATACTACCGTAGAGTCAGTAGATACTACCGTAGAGTCAGTAGATACTACTGTAGAGTCAGTAGATGCTACTGTAGAGTCAGTAGATACTACTGTAGTGTCAGTAGATACTACTGTAGTGTCAATAGATACTACTATAGTGTCAGTAGATACTACTGTAGAGTCAGTAGATACTACTGTAGAGTCAGTAGATACTACTGTAGTGTCAGTAGATACTACTGTAGTGTCAGTAGATACTACTATAGAGTCAGTAGTTACTACTGTAGAGTCAGTAGATACTACTGTAGAGTCAGTAGATACTACTATAGAGTCTGTAGATACTATTATAGAGTCAGTAGATACTACTATAGAGTCAGTAGATACTACTGTAGAGTCAGTAGATACTACTATAGTGTCAGTAGTTACTACTGTAGAGTCAGTAGATACTACTGTAGAGTCAGTAGATACTACTGTAGAGTCAGTAGATACTACTGTAGAGTCAGTAGATACTACTGTAGAGTCAGTAGATACTACTGTAGAGCCAGTAGATACTACCGTAGAGTCAGTAGATACTACCGTAGAGTCAGTAGATACTACTGTAGAGTCAGTAGATACTACTATAGAGTCAGTAGTTACTACTGTAGTGTCAGTAGATACTACTGTAGTGTCAATAGATACTACTATAGTGTCAGTAGATACTACTGTAGTGTCAGTAGATACTACTGTAGAGTCAGTAGATACTACTATAGTGTCAGTAGATGCTACTGTAGAGTCAGTAGATACTACTATAGAGTCAGTAGTTACTACTGTAGAGTCAGTAGATACTACTGTAGAGTCAGTAGATACTACTATAGAGTCAGTAGATACTACTATAGTGTCAGTAGATACTACTGTAGTGTCAGTAGATGCTACTGTAGAGTCAGTAGATACTACTATAGTGTCAGTAGATGCTACTGTAGAGTCAGTAGATACTACTATAGAGTCAGTAGTTACTACTGTAGAGTCAGTAGATACTACTGTAGAGTCAGTAGATACTACTATAGAGTCAGTAGATACTACTATAGTGTCAGTAGATACTACTATAGTGTCAGTAGATGCTACTGTAGAGTCAGTAGATACTACTGTAGAGTCAGTAGATACTACTGTAGAGTCAGTAGATACTACTGTAGAGTCAGTAGATACTACTGTAGAGTCAGTAGATACTACTGTAGAGTCAGTAGATACTACTGTAGTGTCAGTAGATACTACTGTAGTGTCAGTAGATACTACTATAGAGTCAGTAGATACTACTGTAGAGTCAGTAGATACTACTGTAGAGTCAGTAGATACTACTATAGAGTCTGTAGATACTATTATAGAGTCAGTAGATACTACTATAGAGTCAGTAGATACTACTGTAGAGTCAGTAGATACTACTATAGTGTCAGTAGTTACTACTGTAGAGTCAGTAGATACTACTGTAGAGTCAGTAGATACTACTGTAGAGTCAGTAGATACTACTGTAGAGTCAGTAGATACTACTGTAGAGTCAGTAGATACTACTGTAGAGCCAGTAGATACTACCGTAGAGTCAGTAGATACTACCGTAGAGTCAGTAGATACTACTGTAGAGTCAGTAGATACTACTATAGAGTCAGTAGTTACTACTGTAGTGTCAGTAGATACTACTGTAGTGTCAATAGATACTACTATAGTGTCAGTAGATACTACTGTAGTGTCAGTAGATACTACTGTAGAGTCAGTAGATACTACTATAGTGTCAGTAGATGCTACTGTAGAGTCAGTAGATACTACTATAGAGTCAGTAGTTACTACTGTAGAGTCAGTAGATACTACTGTAGAGTCAGTAGATACTACTATAGAGTCAGTAGATACTACTATAGTGTCAGTAGATACTACTGTAGTGTCAGTAGATGCTACTGTAGAGTCAGTAGATACTACTATAGTGTCAGTAGATGCTACTGTAGAGTCAGTAGATACTACTATAGAGTCAGTAGTTACTACTGTAGAGTCAGTAGATACTACTGTAGAGTCAGTAGATACTACTATAGAGTCAGTAGATACTACTATAGTGTCAGTAGATACTACTATAGTGTCAGTAGATGCTACTGTAGAGTCAGTAGATACTACTGTAGAGTCAGTAGATACTACTGTAGAGTCAGTAGATACTACTGTAGAGTCAGTAGATACTACTGTAGAGTCAGTAGATACTACTGTAGAGTCAGTAGATACTACTGTAGTGTCAGTAGATACTACTGTAGTGTCAGTAGATACTACTGTAGTGTCAGTAGATACTACTATAGAGTCAGTAGATACTACTGTAGAGTCAGTAGATACTACTGTAGAGTCAGTAGATACTACTATAGAGTCTGTAGATACTATTATAGAGTCAGTAGATACTACTATAGAGTCAGTAGATACTACTGTAGAGTCAGTAGATACTACTATAGTGTCAGTAGTTACTACTGTAGTGTCAGTGTATACTACTGTAGAGTCAGTAGATACTACTGTAGAGTCAGTAGATACTACTGTAGAGTCAGTAGATACTACTGTAGAGTCAGTAGATACTACTGTAGAGTCAGTAGATACTACTGTAGAGTCAGTAGATACTACTGTAGAGTCAGTAGATACTACTGTAGAGTCAGTAGATACTACTGTAGTGTCAGTAGATACTACTGTAGTGTCAGTAGATACTACTGTAGAGTCAGTAGTTACTACTGTAGAGTCAGTAGATACTACTGTAGAGTCAGTAGATACTACTGTAGAGTCAGTAGATACTACTGTAGAGTCAGTAGTTACTACTATAGAGTCAGTAGATACTACTGTAGAGTCAGTAGATACTACTGTAGAGCCACTAGATACTACTATAGAGTCAGTAGATACTACTGTAGAGTCAGTAGTTACTACTATAGTCAGTAGATACTACTGTAGAGTCAGTAGATACTACTATACAGTCAGTACATACTACTGTAGAGTCAGATACTACTTTAGAGTCAGTAGATACTACCGTAGAGTCAGTAGATACTACTGTAGAGTCAGTAGATACTACTATACAGTCAGTAGATACTACTGTAGAGTCAGATACTACTGTAGAGTCAGTAGATACTACTGTAGAGTCAGTAGATACTACTTTAGAGTCAGTAGATACCACTATAGAGTCAGTATATACTACTGTAGAGTCAGATACTACTGTAGAGTCAGTAGATACTACTGTAGAATCAGTAGATACTACTGTAGAGTCAGTAGATACTACTGTAGAGTCAGTAGATACTACTGTAGAGTCAGTAGATACTACTGTAGAGTCAGTAGATACTACTATACAGTCAGTAGATACTACTGTAGAGTCGATAGATACTACTGTAGAGTCAGTAGATACTACTGTAGAGTCAGTAGATACTACTACAGAGTCAGTAGATACACACTATACACTACACTACTATACACTACACTACTATACACTACACTACTATACACTATATATTATACGATACACTACTCTACTATACACTACACTACTATACACTATATATTACACTATACACTACTATACACTACACTATACACTCTATACACTACACTACTATACACTACACTACTATACACTACACTACTATACACTATAGTGTATAGTAGTGTGTGTGTGAGTGTCTGTGTGTGTGTGAGTGTCTGTGTGAGTGTCTGTGTGTGTGTGTGAGTGTGTCTGTGTGTGTGGCTAGCAGCACCGCAAAACGCACTGTGTACTACGCTACACTATACACTACACTATACACTACACTACACTATACACTACACTATACACTACACTACACTATACACTACACTATACACGACACTACTATACACTACACTATACACTACACTACACTATACACTACACTACACACTACACTATACACTACACTATACACGACACTACTATACACTACTACACTATACACTACACACTACACTACACACTACACTATACACTACACTCTATACACTACACTATACACTACTACACTATACACTACACTATACACTACACTATACACTACACTATACACTACACTACTACACACTACACTACTACACACTACACTATACACTACACTATACACTACACACTACACTACACACTCCACTATACACTACACTATACACTACACTACACACTACTACACTATACACTACACTACACACTACACTATACACGACCCTCGTGTGTTGCTGCGCGTGCTTCAGGGCGGGGGGAGATTGAGGTGCGGGCCGACCCGCTCAGCTGCACCTCCATCGAGCTGAGCTACGGCCTCTGCCGCTTTCTCCGGGAGGCCCGGAGGCCCAACGGCCGGGCCTACCAGCCAGACAGCCTCTACTACCTGTGCCTGAGCCTGCAGCACGTGCGTCGCTCGCTCACCCGCTCGCTCACCAGCTCGCTCACCAGCTCGCTCACCAGCTCACTCACTCACCAGCTCGCTCACCAGCTAACTCACCAGCTCGCTCACCAACTCATTAACTCACCAGCTCACTCGCTCACCCACTCGCTCACCCGCTCGCTCACCAGCTCACTCACCCACTCGCTCACCAGCTCGCTCACCCACTCGCTCACCAGCTCACTCACCAGCTTACTCACTCACCAGCTCACTCACTCGCTCACCAGCTCGCTCGCTCACCAGCTCGCTCACCAGCTCACTCACTAACTCATTAACTCACTAGCTCACTCGCTCACCAGCTCGCTCACCAGCTCGCTCACCCACTCACTCACCAGCTCACTCACTAACTCGCTCACCAGCTCGCTCACCAGCTCGCTCACCAGCTCGCTCACCAGCTCACTCACTAACTCGCTCACCAGCTCGCTCACCCGCTCGCTCACCAGCTCACTCACCAGCTTACTCACTCACCAGCTCACTCACTCGCTCACCAACTCGCTCACTCACCAGCTCGCTCACCCGCTCGCTCACCAGCTCACTCGCTCGCTCACCAGCTCGCTCACCAGCTCAGTCGCTCACCAGCTCACACACTAACTCATTAACTCACTAGCTCACTCACCAGCTCGCTCACCAGCTCAATCACTCACCAGCTCACTCACCAGCTCGCTCACTAGCTCGCTCACCAGCTCACTCACTCACCAGCTCACTCACCAGCTCAGTCGCTCACCAGCTCACACACTAACTCATTAACTCACTAGCTCACTCACTCACCAGCTCACTCACCAGCTCGCTCACCCACTCACTCACTAGCTCACTCACTCACCAGCTCACTCACTAACTCGCTCACCAGCTCGCTCACCAGCTCGCTCACCAGCTCGGTCACTAACTCGCTCACTCACCAGCTCACTCACCAGCTCACTCACTAGCTCACTCACTCACCAGCTCACTCACTAGCTCACTCACTCACCAGCTCACTAACTCACCAGCTTACTCACCCGCTCACTAACTCACCAGCTCCCTCACTCACCAGCTCACTCACTCACCAGCTCCCTCACTCACCAGCTCACTCACTCACCAGCTCACTCACTCACCAGCTCACTCACTCACCAGCTCACTCACCAGCTTACTCACTCACCAGCTCACTCACTCACCAGCTCACTCACCAGCTCACTCACCAGCTCACTCACCAGCTCACTCACCAGCTCGCTCACCAGCTCGCTCACCAGCTCACTCACCAGCTCACTCACCAGCTCACTCACCAGCTCACTCACTCACCAGCTCACTCACTCACCAGCTCAGTCGCTCACCAGCTCACTCACCAGCTCACTCACTCACTAGCTCACTCACCAGCTCACTCACTCACCAGCTCACTCACTAGCTCACTCACTCTCTAGCTCACCAGCTCACTCACCAGCTTACTCACCTGCTCACTCACTCACCAGCTCATTCACTCACCAGCTCAGTCACTCACCCGCTCACTCACTCACCCGCTCACTAACTCGCACTCACCCTAGCTTTGACACTAACACGTCTCTCTCACGTCTCCCTCATCTCCCCCCCTCATCTCCCCCCCCTCATCTCTCCCCCCTCATCTCCCCCCCTCATCTCCCCCCCCTCATCTCCCCCCCCCCGTGTCTGCGTGCTCACAGTACCTGTTTGAACACAAGCGGATCGACAACATCTTCACTGACGTCTACTACAGCCGCTTTAGCGAGGAGCTCTCACTGCTCCTGCAGAACTGGCGGCCGCGTCTACTGCCGAGCGGTGAGCAGCGCTCTCGCTCACCAGCGCTCTCGCTCTCGCTCACCAGCTCACTCACCAGCTCACCCACTCGCTCACCAGCTCACTCACCAGCTCGCTCACCAGCTCGCTCACCAGCTCACTCACCAGCTCACTCACTCACCAGCTCACTCACTCACCAGCTCACTCACCAGCTCGCTCACCAGCTCGCTCACACGCTCACTCACATGATCGCTCACACGCTCACTCACTCACACGCTCGCTCACCCGCTCACTCACCCACTCGCTCACCCACTCGCTCACCCACTCGCTCACCCGCTCGCTCACCAGCTCGCTCACCAGCTCACTCACCAGCTCGCTCACCAGCTCACTCACTCACCAGCTCACTCACCAGCTCACTCACCAGCTCACTCACCAGCTCACTCGCTCACCAGCTCACTCACTCACCAGCTCACTCACCAGCTCACTCACCAGCTCACTTGCTCACCAGCTCACTCACCAGCTCGCTCACCGCTCACCAGCTCACTCACCAGCTCACTCACCAGCTCACTCACTCACCAGCTCACTCACCAGCTCACTCACTCACCAGCTCACTCACTCACTAGCTCAGTCACTCACCAGTACACTCACCAGCTCACTCACTCACCAGCTCACTCACTCACCAGCTCACTCACCAGCTCACTCACCAGCTCACTCACTCACCAGCTCACTCACCAGCTCACTCACTCACCAGCTCACTCACTCACCAGCTCGCTCACCAGCTCGCTCACCGCTCACCAGCTCACTCGCTCACCCACTCGCTCACCCACTCACTCACCCACTCGCTCACCAGCTCGCTCACCAGCTCACTCACCAGCTCATTCACTCACCAGCTCACTCACTCACCAGCTCGCTCACTCACCAGCTCACTCACCAGCTCACTCACCAGCTCGCTCACTCACAGCTCACTCACCATCTCACCAGCTCCCTCGCTCACCAGCTCGCTCACCAGCTCGCTCACCAGCTCCAGCTAGTTAGTAAGGACTTGTTACTATATAATGATAGTTAGCAAGGAGTTGTTACTATATAATGATAGTTAGTAAGGAGTTAGTAATGATAGTTAGTAAGGACCTGTCACTATATAATGATAGTTAGTAAGGAGTTAGTAATGGTAGTTGGTAAGGACTTGTTAATATACAATGATAGTTAGTAAGGACTTGTTACTATATAATGATAGTTAGTAAGGAGTTAGTAATGATAGTTGGTAAGGAGTTGTTACTATATAATGATAGTAAGGAGTTAGTAATGATAGTTGGTAAGGAGTTGTTACTATATAATGATAGTAAGGAGTTAGCAATGATAGTTAGTAAGGACTTGTTACTATACAATGATAGTTAGTAAGGAGTCAGTAATGATAGTAAGGAGTTGTTACTATATAATGATAGCTAGTAGGGAGTTAGCAATGACAGTTAGTAAGGACTTGTTATTATATAATGATAGTTAGTAAGGAGTTGTTGCTACATAATGATAGTAATGAGTTAGTGATGATAGTAAGGAGTTGCCACTATATAATGGTAGATAGTAAGGAGTTAGTAATGATAGTTGGTAAGGGCCTGTTACTATATAATGATAGTTAGTAAGGAGTTTGTAATGATAGTTAGTAAGGACTTGTTACCATATAATGATAGTTAGTAAGGAGTTAGCAATGATAGTTGGTAAGGACTCGTTACTATATATTGATAGTTGATAAGGAGTTAGTAATGATAGTTAGTAAGGACTTGTCACTATATGATAGTTAGTAAGGAGTTAGTAATGATAGTCAGTAAGGACTTGTTACCATATAATGATAGTTGGTAAGGAGTTAGTAATGATAGTTAGTAAGGACTTGTTACTATATAGTGATAGTTAGTAATGATAGTTAGTAAGGACTTGTTACTATATAATGATAGTTGGTAAGGAGTTAGTGATAGTTAGTAAGGATTTGTTACTATATAATGGTAGTGAGTAAGGAGTTAGTAATGGTAGTTAGTAAGGAGTTGTTACTATATAATGATAGTTGGTAAGGAGTTAGTAATGATAGTTAGTAAGGAGTTGTCACTATATAATGATAGTGAGTAAGGAGTTAGTAATGATAGTAAGGACTTGTTACTATATAATGGTAGTTAGTAAGGAGTTAGTAATGACAGTTGGTAAGGACATGTTACTATATAATGATAGTTAGTAAGGAGTCAGTGATGATAGTTAGTAAGGAGTTGTTACCATATAATGATAGATAGTAAGAAGTTAGTAATGATAGTTAGTAAGGACTTGTTACTATATAATGATAGTTAGTGAAGGCGTTAGTAATGATAGTTAGTAAGGACTTGTTACTATATAATGATAGTAAGGAGTTAGTGATGATAGTTAGTAAGGGCTTGTTACTATATAATGACAGTAAGGAGTTAGTAATAATAGTTAGTAAGGACTTGTTACTATATAATGATAGTTAGTAAGGAGTTAGCAATGATAGTCGGTAAGGAGTTGTCACTATATGATAGTTAGTAAGGAGTTAGTAATGATAGCTAGTAAGGACTTGTTACCATATAATGATAGTTGGTAAGGAGTTAGTAATGATAGTTAGTAAGGACTTGTTACTATATAGTGATAGTTAGTAATGATAGTTAGTAAGGACTTGTTACTATATAATGATAGTTGGTAAGGAGTTAGTGATAGTTAGTAAGGATTTGTTACTATATAATGGTAGTGAGTAAGGAGTTAGTAATGGTAGTTAGTAAGGAGTTGTTACTATATAATGATAGTTGGTAAGGAGTTAGTAATGATAGTTAGTAAGGAGTTGTCACTATATAATGATAGTGAGTAAGGAGTTAGTAATGATAGTAAGGACTTGTTACTATATAATGGTAGTTAGTAAGGAGTTAGTAATGACAGTTGGTAAGGACCTGTTACTATATAATGATAGTTAGTAAGGAGTCAGTGATGATAGTTAGTAAGGAGTTGTTACCATATAATGATAGATAGTAAGAAGTTAGTAATGATAGTTAGTAAGGACTTGTTACTATATAATGATAGTTAGTGAAGGCGTTAGTAATGATAGTTAGTAAGGACTTGTTACTATATAATGATAGTAAGGAGTTAGTGATGATAGTAAGGGCTTGTTACTATATAATGACAGTAAGGAGTTAGTAATAATAGTTAATAAGGACTTGTTACTATATAATGATAGTAAGGAGTTAGCAATGATAGTTGGTAAGGAGTCGTTACTATATAATGATAGTTAGTGAGGAGTTAGCAATGATAGCTAGTAAGGACCTGCTACTATATAATGATAGTTAGTAAGGAGTTAGTAATGACAGATTGGTAAGGACTTGTTACTATATAGTGATAGTTAGTAATGATAGTTAGTAAGGACTTGTTACTATATAATGATAGTTGGTAAGGAGTTAGTGATAGTTAGTAAGGATTTGTTACTATGTAATGGTAGTGAGTAAGGAGTTAGTAATGGTAGTTAGTAAGGAGTTGTTACTATATAATGATAGTTGGTAAGGAGTTAGTAATGATAGTTGGTAAGGAGTTCTCACTATATAATGATAGTGAGTAAGGAGTCAGTGATGATAGTTAGTAAGGAGTTGTTACCATATAATGATAGATAGTAAGGAGTTAGTAATGATAGTTAGTAAGGACTTGTTACTATATAATGATAGTTAGTGAAGGCGTTAGTAATGATAGTAAGGACTTGTTACTATATAATGATAGTAAGGAGTTAGTGATGATAGTTAGTAAGGGCTTGTTACTATATAATGACAGTAAGGAGTTAGCAATAATAGTTAGTAAGGACTTGTTACCATATAATGATAGTTAGTAAGGAGTTAGCAATGATAGTTGGTAAGGAGTTGTTACTATATAATGATAGTTAGTGAGGAGTTAGCAATGATAGCTAGTAAGGACTTGCTACTATATAATGATAGTTAGCAAGGAGTTAGTAATGACAGATTGGTAAGGACTTGTTACTATATAATGATAGTGAGGAGTTAGTAATGGTAGTTGGTAAGGAGTTGTTACTATATAATGATAGTTAGTGAGTAGTTAGTAATGATAGTTAGTAAGGACTTGTTACTATATAATGATAGTTAGTAAGGAGTTAGTATTGACAGTTGGTAAGGAGTTGCTACTATATAATGATAGTTAGTAAGGAGTTAGTAGTGGTAGTTAGTAAGGACTTGCTACTATATAATGATAGTTAGTAAGGAGTTGGTAATGATAGTTAGTAAGGACTTGTTACTATATAATGATAGCAAGGAGTTAGTAATGACAGTTAGTAAGGACTTGTTACTATATAATGATAGTTAGTGAAGGCGTTAGTAATGATAGTTAGTAAGGACTTGTTACTATATAATGATAGTAAGGAGTTAGTGATGATAGTTAGTAAGGGCTTGTTACTATATAATGACAGTAAGGAGTTAGTAATAATAGTTAGTAAGGACTTGTTACCATATAATGATAGTTAGTAAGGAGTTAGCAATGATAGTTGGTAAGGAGTTGTTACTATATAATGATAGTTAGTGAGGAGTTAGCAATGATAGCTAGTAAGGACTTGCTACTATATAATGATAGTTAGTAAGGAGTTAGTAATGACAGATTGGGAAGGACTTGTTACTATATAATGATAGTGAGGAGTTAGTAATGGTAGTTGGTAAGGAGTTGTTACTATATAATGATAGTTAGTGAGTAGTTAGTAATGATAGTTAGTAAGGACTTGTTACTATATAATGATAGTTAGTAAGGAGTTAGTATTGACAGTTGGTAAGGAGTTGCTACTATATAATGATAGTTAGTAAGGAGTTAGTAATGGTAGTTAGTAAGGACTTGCTACTATATAATGATAGTTAGTAAGGAGTTAGTAATGATAGTTAGTAAGGACTTGTTACTATATAATGATAGCAAGGAGTTAGTAATGACAGTTAGTAAGGACCTGTTACTATATAATGATAGTTAGTAAGGAGTTAGTAATGGTAGTTGGTAAGGACTTGTTACTATATAATGATAGTTGGTAAGGAGTTAGTAATGATAGTTGGTAAGGACTTGTTACTATACAATGATAGTTAGTAAGGAGTTAGTTATGATAGTTAGTAAGGACTTGCTACTATATAATGATAGTTAGTAAGGAGTTAGTAATGATAGTTGGTAAGGACTTGTTACTATATAATGATAGCAAGGAGTTAGTAATGACAGCTAGTAAGGACCTGTTACTATATAATGATAGTTAGTAAGGAGTTAGTAATGATAGTTAGTAAGGACTTGCTACTATATAATGATAGTTAGTAAGGAGTTAGTAATGATAGTAAGGACTTGTTACTATATAATGATAGTTAGTAAGGAGTCAGTAATGATAGTTGGTAAGGACTTGTTACCATATAATGATAGTTAGTAAGGAGTTAGTAATGATAGTTAGTAAGGACTTGTTACTATATAATGATAGTTAGTAAGGAGTTAGTAATGATAGTTGGTAAGGAGTTAGTGAAGCGAGTCTGAAGCGTGAAGCGAGTCTGAAGCGTGTCTGAAGCGAGTCTGAAGCGTGAAGCGAGTCTGAAGCGAGTCTGAAGCGAGTCTGAAGCGTGAAGCGAGTCTGAAGCGTGAAGCGAGTCTGAAGCGTGAAGCGAGTCTGAAGCGTGTCGTGAAGCGAGTCTGAAGCGTGAAGCGAGTCTGAAGCGTGTCTGAAGCGAGTCTGAAGCGAGTCTGAAGCGTGAAGCGAGTCTGAAGCGTGAAGCGAGTCTGAAGCGAGTCTGAAGCGTGAAGCGAGTCTGAAGCGTGAAGCGAGTCTGAAGCGTGTCTGAAGCGTGAAGCGAGTCTGAAGCGTGAAGCGAGTCTGAAGCGAGTCTGAAGCGTGAAGCGAGTCTGAAGCGAGTCTGAAGCGAGAAGCGAGTCTGAAGCGTGTGTTAAGCGTGAAGCGAGTCTGAAGCGTGTGTTAAGCGTGAAGCGAGTCTGAAGCGTGTGTGAAGCGTGAAGCGAGTCTGAAGCGTGTCGTGAAGCGAGTTTGAAGCGTGAAGCGAGTCTGAAGCGTGTCTGAAGCGTGAAGCGAGTCTGAAGCGTGAAGCGAGTCTGAAGCGAGTCTGAAGCGAGTCTGAAGCGAGTCTGAAGCGTGAAGCGAGTCTGAAGCGAGTCTGAAGCGTGAAGCGAGTCTGAAGCGAGTCTGAAGCGAGTCTGAAGCGTGAAGCGAGTCTGAAGCGAGTCTGAAGCGAGTCTGAAGCGAGTCTGAAGCGTGAAGCGAGTCTGAAGCGTGAAGCGAGTCTGAAGCGAGTCTGAAGCGTGAAGCGAGTCTGAAGCGAGTCTGAAGCGAGTCTGAAGCGTGAAGCGAGTCTGAAGCGTGAAGCGAGTCTGAAGCGAGTCTGAAGCGTGAAGCGAGTCTGAAGCGTGAAGCGTGTCGTGAAGCGAGACTGAAGCGTGAAGCGAGTCTGAAGCGAGTCTGAAGCGAGTCTGAAGCGAGTCTGAAGCGAGTCTGAAGCGAGTCTGAAGCGTGAAGCGAGTCTGAAGCGAGTCTGAAGCGTGAAGCGAGTCTGAAGCGAGTCTGAAGCGAGTCTGAAGCGAGTCTGAAGCGTGAAGCGAGTCTGAAGCGAGTCTGAAGCGAGTCTGAAGCGAGTCTGAAGCGTGAAGCGAGTCTGAAGCGAGTCTGAAGCGAGTCTGAAGCGAGTCTGAAGCGAGTCTGAAGCGAGTCTGAAGCGAGTCTGAAGCGAGTCTGAAGCGTGAAGCGAGTCTGAAGCGAGTCTGAAGCGTGAAGCGAGTCTGAAGCGAGTCTGAGCGAGTCTGAAGCGAGTCTGAAGCGAGTCTGAAGCGTGAAGCGAGTCTGAAGCGTGAAGCGAGTCTGACGCGAGTCTGAAGCGTGAAGCGAGTCTGAAGCGAGTCTGAAGCGTGAAGCGAGTCTGAAGCGTGAAGCGAGTCTGAAGCGAGTCTGAAGCGTGAAGCGAGTCTGAAGCGAGTCTGAAGCGTGAAGCGAGTCTGAAGCGAGTCTGAAGCGAGTCTGAAGCGTGAAGCGAGTCTGAAGCGTGAAGCGAGTCTGAAGCGAGTCTGAAGCGTGAAGCGAGTCTGAAGCGTGAAGCGTGTCGTGAAGCGAGACTGAAGCGTGAAGCGAGTCTGAAGCGAGTCTGAAGCGAGTCTGAAGCGAGTCTGAAGCGAGTCTGAAGCGTGAAGCGAGTCTGAAGCGAGTCTGAAGCGTGAAGCGAGTCTGAAGCGAGTCTGAAGCGAGTCTGAAGCGTGAAGCGAGTCTGAAGCGAGTCTGAAGCGAGTCTGAAGCGAGTCTGAAGCGTGAAGCGAGTCTGAAGCGAGTCTGAAGCGAGTCTGAAGCGAGTCTGAAGCGAGTCTGAAGCGAGTCTGAAGCGTGAAGCGAGTCTGAAGCGAGTCTGAAGCGTGAAGCGAGTCTGAAGCGAGTCTGAAGCGAGTCTGAAGCGAGTCTGAAGCGAGTCTGAAGCGTGAAGCGAGTCTGAAGCGTGAAGCGAGTCTGAGCGAGTCTGAAGCGTGAAGCGAGTCTGAAGCGAGTCTGAAGCGTGAAGCGAGTCTGAAGCGAGTCTGAAGCGTGAAGCGAGTCTGAAGCGTGAAGCGAGTCTGAAGCGAGTCTGAAGCGAGTCTGAAGCGTGAAGCGAGTCTGAAGCGTGAAGCGAGTCTGAAGCGAGTCTGAAGCGAGTCTGAAGCGTGAAGCGAGACTGAAGCGTGAAGCGAGTCTGAAGCGAGTCTGAAGCGAGTCTGAAGCGAGTCTGAAGCGAGTCTGAAGCGTGAAGCGAGTCTGAAGCGAGTCTGAAGCGTGAAGCGAGTCTGAAGCGAGTCTGAAGCGAGTCTGAAGCGAGTCTGAAGCGTGAAGCGAGTCTGAAGCGAGTCTGAAGCGAGTCTGAAGCGAGTCTGAAGCGTGAAGCGAGTCTGAAGCGAGTCTGAAGCGAGTCTGAAGCGAGTCTGAAGCGAGTCTGAAGCGAGTCTGAAGCGAGTCTGAAGCGTGAAGCGAGTCTGAAGCGAGTCTGAAGCGTGAAGCGAGTCTGAAGCGAGTCTGAAGCGAGTCTGAAGCGAGTCTGAAGCGAGTCTGAAGCGTGAAGCGAGTCTGAAGCGAGTCTGAAGCGTGAAGCGAGTCTGAAGCGAGTCTGAAGCGTGAAGCAAGTCTGAAGCGTGAAGCGAGTCTGAAGCGAGTCTGAAGCGAGTCTGAAGCGTGAAGCGAGTCTGAAGCGAGTCTGAAGCGAGTCTGAAGCGTGATGCGAGTCTGAAGCGAGTCTGAAGCGTGAAGCGAGTCTGAAGCGAGTCTGAAGCGTGAAGCGAGTCTGAAGCGTGAAGCGAGTCTGAAGCGAGTCTGAAGCGTGAAGCGAGTCTGAAGCGTGAAGCGAGTCTGAAGCGTGAAGCGAGTCTGAAGCGTGAAGCGAGTCTGAAGCGAGTCTGAAGCGTGAAGCGAGTCTGAAGCGTGAAGCGAGTCTGAAGCGTGAAGCGAGTCTGAAGCGTGAAGCGAGTCTGAAGCGAGTCTTCGCCACGACCTGAGCGACAGCCCCAGAAGCCCGTGGGGTCCCCCCCCCGCTGCCCGCGGCGTTGTCCCCCCCCCCCCCCGTGCCCCCCCCCCAGGCGAGCTGCACTCCCGGGTGGAGGAGGAGCACCTGTGGCAGTGCAAGCAGCTGGGCGCCTTCTCCCCGGCTGTGCTGCTCAGCACGCTGCTCTTCTTCAACGCCAAGTTCTTTCGCCTGCACTCGCTCGAGGTGCCAGGCGCCCCCTGCTACAACCGTCTGTGTGTGTGTGTGGACTAATCTCCATCTGTTCCATCTCTGCTACACCGTGTGTGGACTAATCTCCATCTGTTCCATCGCTCCCTGCTACACCGTGTGTGGACTAATCTCCATCTGTTACATCTCACTCCCTTCTACACCGTGTGTGGACTAATCTCTATCTGTTCCACCTCGCTCGCTCCCTTCTACACTGTGTGTGGACTAATCTCCATCTGTTACATCTCACTCCCTTCTACACCGTGTGTGGACTAATCTCCATCTGTTCCACCTCGCTCGCTCCCTTCTACACTGTGTGTGGACTAATCTCCATCTGTTCCATCTCTCGCTCCCTGCTACAACGTGTGTGTGTGTGTGTGGACTAATCTCCATCTGTTCCATCTCTCGCTCCCTGCTACCTCGTGTGTCTGTGTGTGTGGACTAATCTCCATCTGTTCCATCTCACTCCCTTCTACACCGTGTGTGGACTAATCTCCATCTGTTACATCTCTCGCTCCCTTCTACCCCGTGTGTGGACTAATCTCCATCTGTTCCATCGCTCGCTCCCTGCTACACCGTCTGTGTGTGTGTGGACTAATCTCCATCTGTTCCATCTCTCGCTCCCTGCTACACCGTGTGTGGACTAATCTCCATCTGTTCCACCTCGCTCGCTCCCTGCTACACCGTGTGTGTGGACTAATCTCCATCTGTTCCATCTCTCGCTCCCTTCTACCCCGTGTGTGGACTAATCTCCATCTGTTCCATCTCTCGCTCCCTGCTACACCGTGTGTGTGGACTAATCTCCATCTGTTCCATCTCGCTCCCTTCTACACCGTGTGTGGACTAATCTCCATCTGTTCCATCGCTCACTCCCTGCTACACCGTGTGTGTGGACTAATCTCCATCTGTTCCATCTCGCTCCCTTCTACACCGTGTGTGGACTAATCTCCATCTGTTCCATCTCGCTCCCTTCTACACCGTGTGTGGACTAATCTCCATCTGTTCCACCTCGCTCCCTTCTACACCGTGTGTGGACTAATCTCCATCTGTTCCATCTCGCTCCCTTCTACACCGTGTGTGTGTGGACTAATCTCCATCTGTTCCATCTCTCGCTCCCTGCTACACCGTGTGTGTGTGGACTAATCTCCATCTGTTCCATCGCTCACTCCCTGCTACACCGTGTGTGTGGACTAATCTCCATCTGTTCCATCTCACTCCCTTCTACACCGTGTGTGGACTAATCTCCATCTGTTCCACCTCGCTCCCTGCTACACCGTGTGTGGACTAATCTCCATCTGTTCCATCTCTCGCTCCCTGCTACACCGTGTGTGGACTAATCTCCATCTGTTCCACCTCGCTCCCTTCTACACCGTGTGTGGACTAATCTCCATCTGTTCCATCTCGCTCCCTGCTACACCGTGTGTGTGGACTAATCTCCATCTGTTCCATCTCGCTCCCTGCTACACCGTCTGTGGACTAATCTCCATCTGTTCCATCTCGCTCCCTGCTACACCGTGTGTGGACTAATCTCCATCTGTTCCATCTCTCACTCCCTGCTACACCGTGTGTGGACTAATCTCCATCTGTTCCATCTCTCACTCCCTGCTACACCGTGTGTGGACTAATCTCCATCTGTTCCACCTCGCTCCCTTCTACCCCGTGTGTGGACTAATCTCCATCTGTTCCACCTGCGTGTCTGCAGGAGCACCTGGCCCTGTCATTTGGCCACATCACCAAATATCACCGCAAGGGCACCACCACCACCACCAAGTCCGTCTGTCTCTGCCTCTACCCAGCCACCGACGCGCAGAGGGAGGCCGGTGAGATGGTGGGAGGGTGGTGGACAACCTCGTCGTGATCACCCTCCACCTCGTCCACCTCGTCCACCTCGTAGTCGCCCGCCTAATCATCCACCTCAGCCATCCACCTCAGTCGTCCACCTCCGCATCACCTCCCTCATCGTCCACCTCCTCATCGTCCACCACCTCATCGTCCACCTCCTCATCGTCCACCTCCTCATCGTCCACCTCCTCACCGTCCACCTCCTCACCGTCCACCTCCTCATCGTCCACCTCCTCACCGTCCACCACCTCATCGTCCACCTCCTCACCGTCCACCTCCTCACCGTCCACCTCCTCATCGTCCACCTCATTGTCCACCTCATCGTCCACCTCCTCGCCGTCCACCTCCTCACCGTCCACCTCCTCACCGTCCACCTCCTCACCGTCCACCTCATCGTCCACCTCCTCACCGTCCACCTCCTCATCGTCCACCTCCTCACCGTCCACCTCCTCACCGTCCACCTCCTCATCGTCCACCTCCTCACCGTCCACCTCCTCACCGTCCACCTCCTCACCGTCCACCTCCTCACCGTCCACCTCATTGTCCACCTCATCGTCCACCTCCTCGCCGTCCACCTCCTCACCGTCCACCTCCTCACCGTCCACCTCCTCATCGTCCACCTCATTGTCCACCTCATCGTCCACCTCCTCACCGTCCACCTCCTCACCGTCCACCTCCTCACCGTCCACCTCCTCACCGTCCACCTCCTCACCGTCCACCACCTCACCGTCCACCTCCTCACCGTCCACCTCCTCACCGTCCACCTCCTCACCGTCCACCTCCTCACCGTCCACCTCCTCACCGTCCACCACCTCACCGTCCACCTCCTCATCGTCCACCTCCTCACCGTCCACCTCCTCACCGTCCACCTCCTCACCGTCCACCTCCTCACCGTCCACCACCTCACCATCCACCTCCTCACCGTCCACCTCCTCGCCGTCCACCTCCTCACCGTCCACCTCCTCACCGTCCACCTCCTCACCGTCCACCTCCTCACCGTCCACCTCCTCGCCGTCCACCTCCTCACCGTCCACCTCCTCATCGTCCACCTCATTGTCCACCTCATCGTCCACCTCCTCACCGTCCACCTCCTCACCGTCCACCTCCTCACCGTCCACCACCTCATCGTCCACCTCCTCACTGTCCATCGTCCACCACCTCGCCGTCCACCTCCTCACCGTCCACCTCCTCACCGTCCACCTCCTCACCGTCCACCTCCTCACCGTCCACCTCATTGTCCACCTCATCGTCCACCTCCTCGCCGTCCACCTCCTCACCATCCACCTCCTCACCGTCCACCTCCTCACCATCCACCTCCTCACCGTCCACCTCCTCATCGTCCACCTCCTCACCGTCCACCACCTCATCGTCCACCTCCTCACTGTCCATCGTCCACCACCTCGCCGTCCACCTCCTCGCCGTCCACCTCCTCACCGTCCACCTCCTCACCGTCCACCTCTTCACCGTCCACCTCCCCACCGTCCACTACCTCATCGTCCACCACCTCACCGTCCACCTCCTCACCGTCCACCTCATCGTCCACCTCCTCACCGTCCACCTCCTCATCGTCCACCTCCTCATCGTCCACCTCATTGTCCACCTCATCGTCCACCTCCTCACCGTCCACCTCCTCGCCGTCCACCTCCTCGCCGTCCACCTCCTCACCGTCCACCTCCTCACCGTCCATCGTCCACCTCCTCATCGTCCACCTCCTCGCCGTCCACCTCCTCACCGTCCACCTCCTCACCATCCACCTCCTCACCGTCCACCTCCTCATCGTCCACCTCATTGTCCACCTCATCGTCCACCTCCTCACCGTCCACCTCCTCACCGTCCACCTCCTCACCGTCCACCACCTCATCGTCCACCTCCTCACTGTCCATCGTCCACCACCTCGCCGTCCACCTCCTCGCCGTCCACCACCTCACCGTCCACCTCCTCGCCGTCCACCTCCTCACCGTCCACCTCCTCACCGTCCACCTCCTCACCGTCCACCTCCTCGCCGTCCACCTCCTCACCGTCCACCTCCTCGCCGTCCACCTCCTCACCGTCCACCTCCTCACCGTCCACCTCCTCACCGTCCACCTCCTCGCCGTCCACCTCCTCACCGTCCACCTCCTCACCGTCCACCTCCTCATCGTCCACCTCCTCACCGTCCACCTCCTCACCGTCCACCTCTTCACCGTCCACCTCCTCACCGTCCACTACCTCATCGTCCACCACCTCACCGTCCACCTCCTCACCGTCCACCTCATCGTCCACCTCCTCACCGTCCACCTCCTCATCGTCCACCTCCTCACCGTCCACCACCTCACCGTCCACCTCCTCACCGTCCACCTCCTCGCCGTCCACCTCCTCGCCGTCCACCTCCTCACCGTCCACCTCCTCACCGTCCACCTCCTCACCGTCCACCTCCTCACCGTCCACCACCTCATCGTCCACCTCCTCACTGTCCATCGTCCACCTCCTCACCGTCCACCTCCTCACCGTCCACCTCCTCGCCGTCCACCTCCTCACCGTCCACCTCCTCACCGTCCACCTCCTCACCGTCCACCTCCTCACCGTCCACCTCCTCACCGTCCACCACCTCATTGTCCACCACCTCACCGTCCACCTCCTCACCGTCCACCTCCTCGCCGTCCACCTCCTCACCGTCCACCTCCTCACCGTCCACCTCCTCACCGTCCACCTCCTCACCGTCCACCTCCTCGCCGTCCACCTCCTCGCCGTCCACCTCCTCACCGTCCACCTCCTCACCGTCCACCTCCTCACCGTCCACCTCCTCACCGTCCACCTCCTCACCGTCCACCTCCTCACCGTCCACCTCCTCACCGTCCACCTCCTCACCGTCCACCTCCTCATCGTCCACCTCCTCACCGTCCACCTCCTCACCGTCCACTACCTCATCGTCCACCACCTCACCGTCCACCTCCTCACCGTCCACCTCATCGTCCACCTCCTCACCGTCCACCTCCTCACCGTCCACCTCCTCACCGTCCACCTCCTCATCGTCCACCTCCTCACCGTCCACCTCCTCACCGTCCACCTCCTCACCGTCCACCTCCTCACCGTCCATCGTCCACCTCCTCACCGTCCACCTCCTCACCGTCCACCTCTTCACCGTCCACCTCTTCACCGTCCACCTCCTCACCGTCCACCTCCTCACCGTCCACCTCCTCACCGTCCACCTCCTCATTGTCCACCTCACCATCCACCTCCTCATCATCCACCACCTCACCGTCCACCTCCTCACCGTCCACCTCCTCACCGTCCACCTCCTCACCGTCCACCTCCTCACCGTCCACCTCCTCACCGTCCACCACCTCACCGTCCACCTCCTCACCGTCCACCTCCTCACCGTCCACCTCCTCACCGTCCACCTCCTCACCGTCCACCTCCTCACCGTCCACCTCCTCACCGTCCACCTCCTCACCGTCCACCTCCTCACCGTCCACCTCCTCAACGTCCACCTCCTCACCGTCCACCTCCTCACCGTCCACCTCCTCACCGTCCACCACCTCATTGTCCACCACCTCACCGTCCCACTCCTCACCGTCCACCTCCTCGCCGTCCACCTCCTCACCGTCCACCTCCTCACCGTCCACCTCCTCACCGTCCACCTCCTCACCGTCCACCTCCTCGCCGTCCACCTCCTCGCCGTCCACCTCCTCACCGTCCACCTCCTCACCGTCCACCTCCTCACCGTCCACCTCCTCACCGTCCACCTCCTCGCCGTCCACCTCCTCACCGTCCACCTCCTCACCGTCCACCTCCTCACCGTCCACCTCCTCACCGTCCACCTCTTCACCGTCCACCTCCTCACCGTCCACTACCTCATCGTCCACCACCTCACCGTCCACCTCCTCACCGTCCACCTCATCGTCCACCTCCTCACCGTCCACCTCCTCACCGTCCACCTCCTCACCGTCCACCTCCTCATCGTCCACCTCCTCACCGTCCACCTCCTCACCGTCCACCTCCTCACCGTCCACCTCCTCACCGTCCATCGTCCACCTCCTCACCGTCCACCTCCTCACCGTCCACCTCTTCACCGTCCACCTCTTCACCGTCCACCTCCTCACCGTCCACCTCCTCACCGTCCACCTCCTCACCGTCCACCTCCTCATTGTCCACCTCACCATCCACCTCCTCATCATCCACCACCTCACCGTCCACCTCCTCACCGTCCACCTCCTCACCGTCCACCTCCTCGCCGTCCACCTCCTCACCGTCCACCTCCTCACCGTCCACCACCTCACCGTCCACCTCCTCACCGTCCACCTCCTCACCGTCCACCTCCTCACCGTCCACCTCCTCACCGTCCACCTCCTCACCGTCCACCTCCTCGCCGTCCACCTCCTCACCGTCCACCTCCTCACCGTCCACCTCCTCACCGTCCACCTCCTCACCGTCCACCTCCTCACCGTCCACCTCCTCGCCTCCTCCAGAGCGCCAGGCCTCCGGCTATCGGCGTCGGCGTGACGAGGAGCTGTGGCTGCTACAGCCGGAGAATGTTGACAACCCGCTGAGGTGCCCGGTCCGCCTGTACGAGTTCTACCTCTCCAAGTGGTGAGACACGCGGTGGACGGGGAGGGGGAGACACGGGGAGAGACACGGGAGAGAGACACGGGGAGACACGGGGAGACACGGGGGGGAGACGCGGGGAGAGACACGGGGAGACACGGGGAGACACGGGGAGACACGGGGGGGAGACACGGGGAGGGACACGGGGAGAGACACGGGGGGGAGACACGGGGGGAGACACGGGGTGAGACACGGGGGGAGACAAGGGGGGGAGACACGGGGAGATACGGAGAGACACGGGGAGACACGGGGGGGAGAGACACGGGGGGGAGAGACACGGGTAGACACGGGGAGAGACACGGGGAGAGACACGGGGAGAGACACGGGGAGAGACACGGGGGGAGAGACACGGGGGGAGACACGGGGGGAGAGACACGGGAGGGAGACACGGGAGGGAGAGACACGGGGGGGGAGGAGACACGGGAGGGAGACACGGGGAGAGACACGGGGGGGAGAGACACGGGGGGGAGACACGGGAGACACGGGGGGGGGAGACACGGGGAGAGAGACACGGGGGGGGGAGACACGGGGGGGAGACACGGGGAGACACGGGGGGGGGAGACACGGGGGGGGAGACACGGGGGGGGAGAAACGGGGAGACACGGGGGGGGGAGACACGGGGGGGAGACACGGGGAGAGACACGGGGAGAGACACGGGGAGAGACACGGGGAGACACGGGGGGGGGGGAGACACGGGGGGGAGACACAGGGGGGGGGAGACACGGGGGGAGACACAGGGGGAGAGACACGGGGAGACAGGGGGGGGAGACACGGGGGAGAGACACGGGGGGGGGAGAGACACGGGGGGAGAGAGACACGGGGGGGGAGACACGGGGAGACAGGGGGGGGAGAGACACGAGGGAGAGACACGGGGGGGGAGAGACACGGGGGGAGAGACACGGGGGGGGGGAGAGACACGGGGGGGGAGACACGGGGGGAGAGACACGGGGGGAGAGACACGGGGGGGGAGAGACACGGGGGTGAGACACGGGGGGAGAGAGACACGGGGGGAGAGACACGGGGAGACAGGGGGGGGAGACACGAGGGAGAGACACGGGGGGGGAGAGACACGGGGGGAGAGACACGGGGGGGGGAGAGACACGGGGGGGGAGACACGGGGGGAGAGACACGGGGGAGAGACACGGGGGGGGAGAGACACGGGGGGTGAGACACGGGGGAGAGACACGGGGGGGGGAGACACGCGGGGAGAGACACGGGGGGGGAGAGACACGGGGGGGAGAGACACGGGGGGAGAGACACGGGGGGGAGACACGGGGGGGGGAGACACGGGGGGAGAGACACGGGGGGGGAGACACGGAGGGAGAGACACGGGGGGGGAGACACGGGGGGAGAGACACGGGGGGGGGGAGACACGGGGGGAGAGACACGGGGGGGGGAGAGACACGGGGGGGGAGAGACACGGGGGGAGAGACACGGGGGGGAGAGACACGGGGGGAGAGACACGGGGGGGAGACACGGGGGGAGAGACACGGGGGGAGAGACACGGGGTAGAGACACGGGGGGAGAGACACGGGGGGAGAGACACGGGGAGAGACACGGGGAGAGACACGAGGGGGGGAGAGACCACGGGGGGAGAGACACGGGGGGAGAGACACGGTGGGGAGAGACACGGGGGGAGAGACACGGGGGGGGGGGAGAGACACGGGGGGAGAGACACGGGGGGGAGAGACACGGGGGGTGAGACACGGGGGGAGAGACACGGGGGGAGAGACACGGGTGGAGAGACACGGGGGGAGAGACACGGGGGGGAGAGACACGGGGGGAGAGACACGGGGGGAGAGACACGGGGTAGAGACACGGGGGGAGAGACACGGGGAGAGACACGGGGGGGAGACACGGGGGGGGAGAGACACGGGGGGGGAGAGACACGGGGGGAGAGACACGGGGGGAGAGACACGGGGGGAGAGACACGGGGGGGGAGAGACACGGGGGGAGAGACACGGGGGGAGAGACACGGGGGGGAGAGACACGGGGGGTGAGACACGGGGGGAGAGACACGGGGGGAGAGACACGGGGGGAGAGACACGGGGGGAGAGACACGGGGGGGGAGAGACACGGGGGGGAGAGACACGGGGGGGGAGAGACACGGGGGGGCAGAGACACGGGGGGGGAGAGACACGGGGGGAGAGACACGGGGGGAGAGACACGGGGGGAGAGACACGGGGGGGAAGACACGGGGGGAGAGACACGGGGGGAGAGACACGGGGGGAGAGACACGGGGGGGAAGACACGGGGGGAGAGACACGGGGGGAGAGACACGGGGGGAGAGACACGGGGGGTGAGACACGGGGAGAGAGACACGGGGGGAAGAGACACGGGGGGAGAGACACGGGGGAGAGATACGGGGTAGAGACACGGGGGGAGAGACACGGGGTAGAGACACGGGGGGAGAGACACGGGGGGAGAGACACGGGTGGAGAGACACGGGGGGGGAGACACGGGGGGGGGAGAGACACGGGGGGGGGAGAGACACGAGGGGGGAGAGACACGGGGGGAGAGACACGGGGGGAGAGACACGGGGGGAGAGACACGGGGGGGGAGAGACACGAGGGGGGAGAGACACGGGGGGAGAGACACCGGGGGAGAGACACGGGGGGGAGAGACACGGGTGGGGAGAGACACGGGGGGAGAGACACGGGGGGGGAGAGACACGGGGGGGGAGAGACACGGGGGGGAGAGACACGGGGGGAGAGACACGGGGGGAGAGACACGGGGGGAGAGACACGGGGGGAGAGACACGGTGGGAGAGACACGGGGGGGAAGACACGGGGGGAGAGACACGGGGGGAGAGACACGGGGGGTGAGACACGGGAGAGAGACACGGGGGAGAGACACGGGGGGAGAGACACGGGCGGAGAGATACGGGGTAGAGACACGGGGGGAGAGACACGGGGTAGAGACAACGGGGGGAGAGACACGGGGGGAGAGACACGGGGGAGAGACACGGGGAGAGACACGGGGGGAGAGACACGGGGGGGGAGAGACACGGGGGGGGAGAGACACGAGGGGGGAGAGACACGGGGGGAGAGACACGGGGGGAGAGACACGGGGGGAGAGACACGGGGGGGGAGAGACACGAGGGGGGAGAGACACGGGGGGAGAGACACGGGGGGAGAGACACGGGGGGAGAGACACGGGTGGGGAGAGACATGGGGGGAGAGACACGGGGGGGAGATACACGGGGGGTGAGACACGGGGGGAGAGACACGGGGGGGGAGAGACACGGGGGGGGGAGAGACACGGGGGGAGAAACACGGTGGGAGAGACACGGGGGGGGAGACACGGGGGGAGAGACACGGGGGGAGAGACACGGGGGGAGAGACACGGGGGGTGAGACACGGGGGGAGAGACACGGGGGGAGAGACACGGGGGGAGAGACACGGGGTAGAGACACGGGGGGAGAGACACGGGGTAGAGACACGGGGGGAGAGACACGGGGGGAGAGACACGGGGAGAGACACGGGGAGAGACACGAGGGGGGGAGAGACACGGGGGGGGGGAGAGACACGGGGGGGGAGAGACATGGGGGGGAGAGACACGGGGGGAGAGACACGGTGGGAGAGACACGGGGGAGAGACACGGGGGGGGAGAGACACGGGGGGAGAGACACGGGGGGGAGAGACACTGGGGGTGAGACACGGGGGGAGAGACACGGGGGGAGAGACACGGGGGGAGAGACACGGGGGGAGAGACACGGGGGGAGAGATACGGGGGGAGAGACACGGGGGGGAGAGACACTGGGGGTGAGACACGGGGGGAGAGACACGGGGGGGAGAGACACGGGGTAAAGACACGGGGGGAGAGACACGGGGGGAGAGACACGGGGGGAGAGACACGGGGGGAGAGACACGGGGGGAGAAACACGGGGAGACGGGGGGGGACATGGGGAGACACGGGGGAGACACAGGGGGAGACGGGGGTAGAGACACGGGGGGAGAGACACGGGGGGAGAGACACGGGGAGACGGGGGGGGGACATGGGGAGACACGGGGGAGACACAGGGGGGAGACGGGGGTAGAGACACGGGGGGAGAGACACGGGGGGAGAGACACGGGGGGAGAGACACGGGGGGAGAGACACGGGGGGAGAGACACGGGGGGAGAGACACGGGGGGAGAGACACGGGGGGAGAGACACGGGGGGAGAGACACGGGGGGAGAAACACGGGGAGACGGGGGGGGACATGGGGAGACACGGGGGAGACACAGGGGGAGACGGGGGTAGAGACACGGGGGGAGAGACACGGGGGGAGAGACACGGGGAGACGGGGGGGGACATGGGGAGACACGGGGGAGACACAGGGGGAGACGGGGGTAGAGACACGGGGGGAGAGACACGGGGGGAGAGACACGGGGGGAGAGACACGGGGGGAGAGACACGGGGGGAGAGACACGGGGGGAGAGACACGGGGGTAGAGACACGGGGGGAGAGACACGGGGGGAGAGACACGGGGGGAGAGACACGGGGGGAGAGACACGGGGGGAGAGACACGGGGGGAGAGACACGGGGGGAGAGACACGGGGGGAGAAACACGGGGGGAGAGACACGGGGGGAGAGACACGGGGGGAGAGACACGGGGGGAGAGACACGGGGGGAGAGACACGGGGGGAGAAACACGGGGAGACGGGGGGGGACATGGGGAGACACGGGGGAGACACAGGGGGAGACGGGGGTAGAGACACGGGGGGAGAGACACGGGGGGAGAGACACGGGGAGACGGGGGGGGACATGGGGAGACACGGGGGAGACACAGGGGGAGACGGGGGTAGAGACACGGGGGGAGAGACACGGGGGGAGAGACACGGGGGGAGAGACACGGGGGGAGAGACACGGGGGGAGAGACACGGGGGGAGAGACACGGGGGTAGAGACACGGGGGGAGAGACACGGGGGGAGAGACACGGGGGGAGAGACACGGGGGGAGAGACACGGGGGGAGAGACACGGGGGGAGAGACACGGGGGGAGAGACACGGGGGGAGAGACACGGGGGGAGAGACACGGGGGGAGAGACACGGGGGGAGAGACACGGGGGGAGAGACACGGGGGGAGAAACACGGGGAGACGGGGGGGGACATGGGGAGACACGGGGGAGACACAGGGGGAGACGGGGGTAGAGACACGGGGGGAGAGAGACAGGCAACCCGTCACGGTGCCCCGTATGATTCTACAAGTTCTACCTCCTCCCACCTCCCCCCACCCACCCCCCCACCTCCCCCGTCCCAGCCCCGAGGCCGCCAAGAGCCGTAACGACGTCCTGTACCTGCAGCCGGAGCTCGCTTGTGTCCCCGACAGCCCCCTGTGGTACGCACAGCGGCCGCTGCAGCCGGCGCTGCTGGCCACCATGCTAGCGCGCATCACCAGCGTGCGCCAGGTGCACTGCTCCACCGCCTCCTCCGCCTCCACTGCCTCCGCCTCCACCGCCTCCTCCGCCTCCTCGCCGCCCGCCACCGTCACCGACGCGGCGGCCGCTGACGGTGGCGGTGCCGAGCGCCAGCGGCAGGAGCAGGAGGAGGAGGAGCAGGAGGAGGATCCGTCATTAACTTTGGATCGTGACCTGGCATCGCCGCCAGTAGCATCACCATCACCGGTAGCACCGCCAGTAGCAGCAGCAGCAGCAGCTTTACCGGCATCACCGCCAGCACTGGCATCACCGCCAGCAGCACCACCAGCAGCAGCAGCAGCAGCACCGCCAGTAGCATCAGCAGCAGCAGGAGGAGGAGCAGCAGCATCAGCAGCACCGGCATCGCCGGCATCACCGCCGGCGGCAGCGGCCGCTGCGACGTCTGTGGGTGGCTGCGGTGAAGAATCGTGGTTGCTGCATGGTGGTGTTGGTGGTGCCACTGGTGGTGGTGATGGTGGTGGTGGTGCCACTGGTGGTGGTGGTGGTGGTGCCGGTGGTGGTGGTGGTGGTGGTGCCGGTGGTGGTGGTGGTGCCGCCGGTGGTGGTGATGGTGGTGCCACTGGTGGTGGTGGTGATGGTGGCGGTGGTGGCGGTGATGGTGGCGGTGGTGGCGGTGGTGGTGGTGGCGGCGCCGGAGTGGAGGAGCCACCCAAGAAACGACGGCGTGGCCGACCCAGGAAGAACCCCCAGCCAGCCCCAGCCACGGACGGTGACGCCGCCGCCGCCCCCCCCCCTCCACGGCACGGAGGGGCCCCCCACGGAGAGGCGGAGGAGGAAGTGCGTCAAGTCGCCGGTGGTGGAGGTGGACGAGGATGAGGAGTTGATGGAGGAGTTGATGGAGGAGGCGGAGGTGGAGGCAGTGGCTCGCACGGGAGGCAGGAGGAGGCGGAAGAGGAGGATGGTGGCATTTGTGGTGAAGGGTGACGGCGGTGATGGTGGCGGTGACGGCGGTGATGGTGGCGGTGATGGCGGTGACGGTGATGATGACGGTGATGGAGGCGGTGATGGAGGCGGTGACGGTGGTGATGGTGGCGGTGACGGTGACGGTGGCGGTGATGGTGGCGGTGACGATGGCGGTGACGGTGATGATGGCGGTGACGGTGATGGAGGCGCTGCTTTCTGAAGAGGGGTTATGGGACGTGGAGCTACGGGAGAGTGGTGGTGCTGGTGGCTGTGGTGACAGACTCACACGGAGACCCACAGACTACTCACACGGAGACCCACAGACTCACAGTCTCACACGGAGACCCACAGACTCACGGAGACCCACAGACTGGCATACATAGACCCACAGACTCACACAGAGACCCACAGACTCACACGGAGACCCACAGACTCACACGGAGATCCACAGACTCACAGACTCACACGGAGACCCACAGACTCACACGGAGACCCACAGACTCACACGGAGACCCACAGACTACTCACACGGAGACCCACAGACTACTCACACGGAGACCCACAGACTCACACGGAGACCCACAGACTACTCACACGGAGACCCACAGACTACTCACACGGAGACCCACAGACTCACACGGAGACCCACAGACTCACACAGAGACCCACAGACTCACAATAGACACTCAGACTAGCATACATAGACCCACAGACTCACACTAGACCCTCAGACTAGCATACATAGACCCACAGACTCACACTAGACACTCAGACTAGCATACATAGACCCACAGACTCACACGGAGACCCACAGACTCACACTAGACACTCAGACTAGCATACATAGACCCACAGACTCACACGGAGACCCACAGACTCGCACAGACCCTCAGACTATCATACATAGACCCACAGACTCACACTAGACACTCAGACTAGCATACATAGACCCACAGACTCACACTAGACACTCAGACTAGCATACATAGACCCACAGACTCGCACAGACCCTCAGACTATCATACATAGACCCACAGACTCACACTAGACACTCAGACTAGCATACATAGACCCACAGACTCACACTAGACACTCAGACTAGCATACATAGACCCACAGACTCACACTAGACACTCAGACTAGCATACATAGACCCACAGACTCGCACAGACCCTCAGACTATCATACATAGACCCACAGACTCACACTAGACACTCAGACTAGCATACATAGACCCACAGACTCACACTAGACACTCAGACTAGCATACATAGACCCACAGACTCGCACGGAGACCCACAGACTCACATGTAGACCCTCAGAGGCATACATAGACCCACAGACTCACACGGAGACCCACAGACTCACACGGAGACCCACAGACTGGCATACATAGACCCACAGACTCACACAGACCCTCAGACTATCATACATAGACCCACAGACTCACACTAGACACTCAGACTAGCATACATAGACCCACAGACTCACACTAGACACTCAGACTAGCATACATAGACCCACAGACTCGCACGGAGACCCACAGACTCACATGTAGACCCTCAGAGGCATACATAGACCCACAGACTCACACGGAGACCCACAGACTCACACGGAGACCCACAGATTGGCATACATAGACCCACAGACTCACACAGAGACCCACAGACTCACACGGAGACCCACAGACTCTCACAGAGACCCACAGACTGGCATACACACAGACTCACACGGAGACCCACAGACTCACACAGAGACCCACAGACTCACACAGAGACCCACAGACTCACACGGAGACCCACAGACTCTCACAGAGACCCACAGACTGGCATACACAGACTCTTATAAGCGACCCGTAGACTCGCAGAGAGCGACCCACGGACTCGCACAGACCGGCGGGGGGTTGTGATTCTCACGACACTGGAATTTTTTTGTTGAACGTTTTATTGTTTCATTTTGGGCGTCCTCTTCCTGCGCTGAATGGCAGCCCTCGCTTCGAGAGCGAGCGGGAAGGACGCAAAGCAGAACTTCTCGTGGCACCGCCGCACGTAGCCAACTGCGCTAATCGGAGGTGCGCGGGGGGCGGGGAAGGACAATAACCTACACAACAACAACCAGCAGCAGCAGCAGCTCTAAGAGAAATGAGTTTGTCAGTCTCGACGATGATGATGTTGATGTGTAAGTGCAGCGTAGCTCCCAGTGGCTTACTCACAGAGGAAGGGAAGAACGTTCCAGACGAACACAAACAGCCACTCGCCCACACGGCCACTCGCCCACCACTCACTCACTGACTCGCCCACACGGCCACTCGCCCACACGGCCACTCGCCCACACGGCCACTCGCCCACACGGCCACTCGCCCACACGGCCACTCGCCCACACGGCCACTCGCCCACCACTCACTCACTGACTCACCCACACGGCCACTCGCCCACACGGCCACTCGCCCACACGGCCACTCGCCCACACGGCCACTCGCCCACCACTCACTCACTGACTCACCCACACAGCCACTCGCCCACACAGCCACTCGCCCACTCAGCCACTCGCCCACACAGCCACTCACCCACTCAGCCACTCACCCACTGACTCGCCCACACAGCCACTCGCCCACACAGCCACTCACCCACACAGCCACTCGCCCACACAGCCACTCACCCACTCAGCCACTCACCCACTGACTCACCCACACAGTCACCCCACACACTCAATCATCCACCCACCCACCCACTCAATCATCCACCCACCCACCCACTGGCTCACCCACCCGCGTCTGTACGAGGATGAGCGGAGCATCGCGTGGTGATGGTTTACACTCCTCTCACGAGATGGGCAGCCAAGGCTATCGTACGCTTCATTTGTGGCGAGCCACTCTGTGTGATGGGTACGGTGACCTTGGCAGAACGCAGTACAGGGGACGCCTCTACTTACCAACGAGTTCGGTTCCAGAGGCACTTTGTTCGTAAGGCCCAACTTTACTCCTGTAGATTCCAAACGTGTTGTACGGCGTGCACACTAAGCACAGGGGAATGGCTTTAAAAGTTGTACAATCTCCTGTGGATGTAGATGCCGCTGGTTCTACACATTCTGCAGATGTAGATGCCACTGGTTCTTCACGTTCTGCAGATTTAGATGCCGCTGATTCTTCACGTCCTGAAGATGTAGATGTCGCTGGTTATTAACGTTCTGCAGATGTAGATGCCACTGGTTCTTCACGTTCTGCAGATGTAGATGCCACTGGTTCTTAACGTTCTGTAGATGTAGATGCCACTGGTTCTTAACGTTCTGTAGATGTAGATGCCACTGGTACTTCACGTTCTGCAGATGTAGATGCCACTGGTTCTTCACGTTCTGTAGATGCCACTGGTTCTTCACGTTCTGTAGATGTAGATGCCACTGGTTCTTCACATTCTGCAGATGTAGATGCCACTGGTTCTTCACATTCTGCAGATGTAGATGCCACTGGTTCTTCACGTTCTGCAGATGTAGATGCCACTGGTTCTTCACGTTCTGTAGATGCCACTGGTTCTTCACGTTCTGCAGATGTAGATGCCACTGGTTCTTCACATTCTGCAGATGTAGATGCCACTGGTTCTTCACGTTCTGCAGATGTAGATGCCACTGGTTCTTCACGTTCTGTAGATGCCACTGGTTCTTCACGTTCTGCAGATGTAGATGCCACTGGTTCTTCACGTTCTGCAGATGCCACTGGTTCTTTACGTTCTGCAGATGTAGATGCCACTGGTTCTTCACGTTCTGTAGATGCCACTGGTTCTTCACGTTCTGTAGATGTAGATGCCACTGGTTCTTCACATTCTGCAGATGTAGATGCCACTGGTTCTTCACGTTCTGTAGATGCCACTGGTTCTTCACGTTCTGCAGATGTAGATGCCACTGGTTCTTCACGTTCTGCAGATGTAGATGCCACTGGTTCTTCACGTTCTGCAGATGTAGATGCCACTGGTTCTTCACGTTCTGCAGATGTAGATGCCACTGGTTCTTCACGTTCTGCAGATGTAGATGCCACTGGTTCTTCACGTTCTGCAGATGTAGATGTCACTGGTTCTTCACGTTCTGCAGATGTAGATGCCACTGGTTCTTCACGTTCTGCAGATGTAGATGCCACTGGTTCTTCACGTTCTGCAGATGTAGATGCCACTGGTTCTTCACGTTCTGCAGATGTAGATGCCACTGGTTCTTCACGTTCTGCAGATGTAGATGCCACTGGTTCTTCACGTTCTGCAGATGTAGATGCCACTGGTTCTTCACGTTCTGCAGATGTAGATGCCACTGGTTCTTCACGTTCTGCAGATGTAGATGTCACTGGTTCTTCACGTTCTGTAGCTGTAGATGCCACTGGTTCTTCACGTTCTGCAGATGTAGATGCCACTGGTTCTTCACGTTCTGCAGATGTAGATGCCACTGGTTCTTCACGTTCTGCAGATGTAGATGCCACTGGTTCTTCACGTTCTGCAGATGTAGATGCCACTGGTTCTTCACGTTCTGCAGATGTAGATGCCACTGGTTCTTCACGTTCTGTAGATGCCACTGGTTCTTCACGTTCTGCAGATGTAGATGCCACTGGTTCTTCACGTTCTGCAGATGCCACTGGTTCTTTACGTTCTGCAGATGTAGATGCCACTGGTTCTTTACGTTCTGTAGATGCCACTGGTTCTTCACGTTCTGTAGATGTAGATGCCACTGGTTCTTCACGTTCTGTAGCTGTAGATGCCACTGGTTATTCACGTTCTGCAGATGTAGATGCCACTGGTTCTTCACGTTCTGTACATGTAGATGCCACTGGTTCTTCACGTTCTGCAGATGTAGATGCCGCTGGTTCTTCACGTTCTGCAGATGTAGATGCCGCTGATTCTTCACGTCCTGCAGATGTAGATGTCGCTGGTTCTTCACGTTCTGTAGATGTAGATGCCACTGGTTCTTCACTTTCTACAGATGTAGATACCACTGGTACTTCATGTTCTGTAGATGCCACTGGTTCTTCACGTTCTGTAGATGCCACTGTTCTTCACGTTCTGTAGATGCCACTGGCTCTTCACGTTCTGCAGATGTAGATGCCACTGGTTCTTCACGTTCTGCAGATGTAGATGCCACTGGCTCTTCACGTTCTGCAGATGTAGACGCCACCACCGCCGCCATCTCTGGCGCCGGGCGGTTGAACTTACAAACCCCGGGACAAGACTGCACCTGGACCTGCGGCTTTTTGTTCGTGCCTCTGAAAGTTCGTGAGCCGAACATTCGCGACGGGAGGCGGAGCCCCCCGGGACTTGGGTTCGCTAGCGCAGCCTCGGGCAAGCACGGGACGGACACGAGGCGCGGGATGGGATCTTCGTGGTCACGGTCTCGGCGTAGCCGGCAGCCGCCAGTCGCCACTAAGTGGCGGAGACGTCGCCACGGCGCCCGTGCCAGGCTAGGTGCACTTCTGAGGCTGCCACGTGAAGTGGCAGCTTTTTAAGTGTCGCCTTTTTATAGCCCACGCCACACTACCCCACCCTACCCCCTCTACCACACCACACTCTACCCCACCCTACCCCACCCCCTCTACCCCACCCCCTCTACCCCACCCCACCCCACGCCACCCTACCCCACCCCTCTACCCCACCCCACTCTACCCCACCCCACCCCACCCTACCCTACCCCACCCACCCCCTCTACCCCACCCCACTCTACCCCACCCCACCCCACCCACCCCCTCCCACCCCCTCCCACCCCCTCTACCCCACCCCCTCTACCCCACCCCCTCTACCCCACCCCCTCTACCCCACCCTACCCCACCCCACCCCCTCTACCCTACCCCACCCACCCCCTCTACCCCACCCCCTCTACCCCACCCTACCCCACTCTACCCTACCCCACCTCACTCCACCCCCCTCTACCCCCCCCCTACCCCACCCCTCTACCATCTCTGTCTAAATCCACCTGATGAGGTTTTTTTTAAAGTAATATTTTATAAGCGGTGAGGCGCGAGAGTTAGCTGATGCGGGACGGTTGAAGAGGGAAACGTGAGGTTATCGTAATATTTGAATGATTGTTTATTTGATGTGATGATGTTGACGGTGGATAGTTTACGTCACCCGCTCTGAGTTGGCGGCCGTTCCGTTGTTGTGGACGCGATTTTTGATTTTCTTTTTTGGAGGCGGGAGTCACCTCCCCTTCCTCCGAGATTCCCCTCACCATTTCAGTAATAAACTTGTACAGATTTAGAGCTCGCACACACTCACACGTGTGTGTGTGTGGTGGTGGTTATTGTGTGTGTGTAGTGGTGGTAGTGACTGTGTGTGTGTGTGGTGGTTGTAGTTACTATGTGTGTGTGGTGGTAGTTACTGTGTGTGTGTGGTGGTGGTAGTTATTGTGTGTGTGTAGTGGTGGTAGCTACTGTGTGTGTGTAGTGGTGGTGGTGGTGGTAGTTACTGTGTGTGTGGTGGTGGTGGTAGTTACTGTGTGTGTGGTGTTGGAAGTTAATGTGTGTGTGTGTAGTGGTGGTAGTTACTGTGTGTGTGGTGGTGGTGGTAGTTACTGTGTGTGTGTAGTGGTAGTTATTGTGTGTGTGTAGTGGTAGTAGTTACTGTGTGTGTAGTGGTGGTAGTTACTGTGTGTGTGTAGTGGTGGTAGTTACTGTGTGTGTAGTGGTGGTGGTTACTGTGTGTGTGTGGTGGTAGTTACTGTGTGTGTGTGTGGTAGTTACTGTGTGTGTGTGTGGTAGTTACTGTGTGTGTGGTGGTAGTTACTGTGTGTGTGTGGTGGTGGTAGTTACTGTGTGTGTGGTGGTGGTGTGTGTGTGTTGGTAGTTACTGTGTGTGCGTGTGGTGGTGGTGGTAGTTACTGTGTGTGTGTAGTGGTGGTAGTTACTGTGTGTGTGGTGGTGGTAGTTACTGTGTGTGTGGTAGTAGTTACTGTGTGTGGTAGTGGTGGTTACTGTGTGTGTGGTGGTAGTTACTGTGTGTGTGTGTGTGGTAGTTAGTGTGTGGTGGTGGTAGTTACTGTGTGTGTGTAGTGGTGGTGGTAGTAGTTACTGTGTGTGTGTGGTAGTTACTGTGTGTGTGGTGGTAGTAGTTACTGTGTGTGTGTGTAGTGGTGGTTACTGTGTGTGTGGTGGCAGTAGTTACTGTGTGTGTGTGTGGTAGTAGTAGTTACTGTGTGTGTGGTGGTAGTTACTGTGTGTGTGTGGTGGTAGTTACTGTGTGTGGTGGTAGTTACTGTGTGTGGTGGTAGTAGTTACTGTGTGTGTGTAGTGGTGGTAGTTACTGTGTGTAGTGGTGGTAGTAGTTACTGTGTGTGTGTAGTGGTGGTTACTGTGTGTGTGTGGTGGTGGTAGTTACTGTGTGTGTGTGTGGTGGTGGTAGTTTGTGTGTGGTGGTGGTGGTAGTTACTGTGTGTGTGGTGGTGGTGGTAGTTACTGTGTGTGTGGTGGTAGTTACTGTGTGTGGTGGTGGTAGTTACTGTGTGTGTGGTGGTAGTTACTGTGTGTGTGTGGTGGTGGTAGTTACTGTGTGTGTGGTGGTGGTAGTTACTGTGTGTGGTGGTGGTAGTTACTGTGTGTGTGTAGTGGTGGTAGTTACTGTGTGTGTGGTGGTAGTTACTGTGTGTGTGGTGGTGGTAGTTACTGTGTGTGTGGTAGTAGTTACTGTGTGTGTGTGGTGGTTACTGTGTGGTGGTAGTTACTGTGGTGGTAGTTACTGTGTGTGTGGTGGTAGTTACTGTGTGTGTGTGGTGGTGGTGGTAGTAGTTACTGTGTGTGTGGTGGTAGTAGCTGTGTGGTGGTAGTAGTTACTGTGTGTGAGTGTAGTGGTGGTAGTTACTGTGTGTGTGGTGGTGGTTACTGTGTGTGCGTGGTGGTCGTTATTGTGTGTGTAGTGGTGGTAGTTTGTGTGGTGGTGGTAGTTTGTGTGGTGGTGGTAGTTATTGTGTGTGGTGGTAGTTACTGTGTGTGTGGTGGTTACTGTGTGTGTGGTGGTAGTTACTGTGTGTGTAGTAGTAGTTACTGTGTGTGTGGTGGTAGTTACTGTGGTGTGGTGGTTACTGTGTGTGTGGTGGTAGTTACTGTGTGTGGTAGTAGTTACTGTGTGTGGTAGTAGTTACTGTGTGTGTGTGTGGTGGTGGTAGTTACTGTGTGTGTGGTGGTGGTAGTTACTGTGTGTGTGTGGTGGTGGTAGTTACTGTGTGTGTGTGTGGTGGTTACTGTGTGTGTGTGGTGGTGGTGGTAGTTACTGTGTGGTGGTAGTAGTTACTGTGTGTGGTGGTAGTAGTTACTGTGTGTGTGGTGGTAGTTACTGTGGTGGTAGTTACTGTGTGTGTGTAGTGGTAGTTACTGTGTGTGGTGGTGGTAGTTAGTGTGTGGTGGTGGTAGTTACTGTGTGTGTGGTAGTAGTTACTGTGTGTGTGGTGGTGGTAGTTACTGTGTGTGTGATAGTTACTGTGTGTGTGATAGTTACTGTGTGTGCGTGGTAGTAGTTACTGTGTGTGTGTGGTGGTAGTTACTGTGTGGGTGGTGGTGGTAGTTATTGTTTGGTGGTGGTGGTAGTTACTGTGTGTAGTGGTGTTAGTTACTGTGTGTATGGTGGTTACTGTGTGTGTGTGGTGGTGGTGGTAGTTACTGTGTGTGTGGTGATAGTTACTGTGTGGTGGTAGTTACTGTGTGTGTGTGTGGTGGTAGTTACTGTGTGTAGTGGTGGTAGTTACTGTGTGTGGTAGTAGTTACTCTGTGTGTGTGGTGGTGGTGGTTACTGTGTGTGGTGGTGGTAGTTACTGTGTGTGGTTACTGTGTGTGGTGGTGGTAGTTACTGTGTGTGTGTGTGGTGGTAGTTACTGTGTGTGTGGTAGTTACTGTGTGTGTGTGGTGGTTACTGTGTGTGTGGGGGTGGTAGTTACTGTGTGTGTGGTGGTTGCTGTGTGTGTGTGTGGTGGTAGTTACTGTGTGGTGGTTACAGTGTTTGGTGGTTACAGTGTGTGTGGTGGTAGTAGTTACTGTGTGGTAGTAGTTACTGTGTGTGTGGTGATAGTTACTGTGTGTGGTAGTAGTTAGTGTGTGGTGGTGGTAGTTACTGTGATAGTAGTTACTGTGTGGTGGTAGTTTGTGTGTGTGGTGGTAGTTACTGTGTGTGGTGGTGGTAGTTAGTGGTAGTGGTAGTTACTGTGTGTGTGGTGGTGGTAGTGTGTGTGTGGTGGTAGTTATTGTGTATGTGGTGGAGTGAAGCTGAGTGACTTACCGATGACCGGTACCAGCCAGTTTCAAGTGAAGGACGCTGCTACTCCTGGGAGAGACTCAGAGCCCTGGGAGAGACTCAGGACCAGTCTCAGAGCCCTGGGAGAGACTCAGAGCCCCTGGGAGAGACTCAGAGCCCCTGGGAGAGACTCAGAGCCCTGGGAGAGACTCAGAGCCCCTGGGAGAGACTCAGGATCAGTCTCAGAGCCCTGGCAGAGACTCAGGATCAGTCTCAGAGCCCTGGGAGAGACTCAGAGCCCTGGGAGAGACTCAGAGCCCCTGGGAGAGACTCAGAGTCCCTGGGAGAGACTCAGAGCCCTGGAAGAGACTCAGGAACAGTCTCAGAGCCCCTGGGAGAGACTCAGACCCCCTGGGAGAGACTCAGAGCCCTGGGAGAGACTCAGAGCCCCTGGGAGAGACTCAGAGCCCCTGGGAGAGACTCAGGATCAGTCTCAGAGCCCTGGGAGAGACTCAGAGCCCTGGGAGAGACTCAGGAACAGTCTCAGGCCCCCTGGGAGAGACTCAGAGCCCTGGGAGAGACTCAGAGCCCTGGGAGAGACTCAGAGCCCTGGGAGAGACTCAGAGTCCCTGGGAGAGACTCAGAGCCCTGGGAGAGACTCAGAGCCCTGGGAGAGACTCAGAGCCCTGGGAGAGACTCAGAGCCCCTGGGAGAGACTCAGGATCAGTCTCAGAGCCCCTGGGAGAGACTCAGAGCCCTGGGAGAGACTCAGTGGTAGGGGTTGTGTGGTGGTGGTGGGAGTGGTGGTGTCGTGGTGGTGTGGTGGTGGTGGTGTGGAGGTGGTGTAATGGTGGTGGTGTGGTGGGGGTGTGGTGGGGGTGGTGGTGTGTTGGTTGTGTGGTGGTGTCGTGGTGGTGGTGTGGTATGGTGGTGTGGTGGTGGCGACGTGTTAAGCGGCGATCGTAGGGCGGCCAGGCGGGAGCAGCGTCACTTTTATTTTACTCCAAGCACAGCGACGGGGGTTGGTTAGCAGAGTTCACGTCGCGCCTAGCCACAACTACTACTACCACTACTACTACACTACTACTACCACAACTACAACCACAACTACCACTACTACCACTACTACTACTACACTACTACTACCACCACTACTACTATCACTACTACTACTACCACTACCTCAACAACTACCACTACTACTACCACTACTACCACTACTACTACCACTACTACCACTACTACTACTACTACCACTACACTACTACTACCACTACAACCACTACTACCACTACTACTACCACTACTACTACCACAACTACCACTACTACTACTACCACAACTACCACTACTACTACCACTCCTACTACTACTACTACCACCACCACTACTACCACTACTACTACAACTACTACTACAACCACAACTACCACTACTACTACCACTACTACTACTACCACTACTACAACCACAACTACTACTACACTACTACACTACTACTACAACCACAACTACTACACTACTACCACTACTACCACTACTACTACCACTACTACCACTACTACCACAACTACTACTACCACAACTACTACTACAACTACCACCACTACTATCACTACTACTACCACAACTACTACCACTACTACTACTACCACTACTACTACACCACCACTACTACCACCACTACTACCACCACTACTACTACCACAACTACTACTACCACAACTACTACTACAACTACCACTAACACTACTACTAGCACTACTACTACCACAACTACAACACTACTACTACTACACTACTACCACTACTACTACCACCACCACTACTACCACTACTACTACCACCACCACAACTACAACACTACTACCACTACTACTACACTACTACTACCACTACTACCACTACTACTACCACTACAGCTACCACTACTACTACCACTACTACCACAACTACAACTAACACTACTACTAGCACTACTACTACCACAACTACAACACTACTACCACTACTACTACCACCACTACTACCACTACTACTACCACCACCACCACTACTACCACCACAACTACTACTACCACTACCACCACCACTACAGCTACCACTACAGCTACCACTACTACTACCACCACCACTACAGCTACCACTACTACTACCACAACTACTACTACAACTACCACTAACACTACTACTACCACAACTACTACACTACTACTACTACACTACTACTACTACACTACTACTACTACCACCACTACTATCACTACTACTACTACTACCACTACTACTACTACCACAACTACTAACAATACTACTACACTACTACTACCACTACCACCACTACTACTACACTACTACTACTACCACTACTACTACCACTACCGCCACCACTACTACTACCACTACAGCTACCACTACAGCTACCACTACAGCTACCACCACCACTACAG